AAGGTGTAGATGGAGGTGATGAGGTGTATATGGAAGGGATCAGATGTAGATGGAGGTATGAGGTGTAGATGGGGTGTGAAGTGTAGCTGGAAATGTGATGTGTGAATGGAGGTGGTGAGGTGTACATGGAAGTGATGAGATGTAGATGGAGGTAGTAAGTTGTAAACAGAGGCGTGAGGTGGAGATGGAGATGGTGAGGTAGTATATGGTGGTGTGAGGTATAGATGAAGGTGTGAGGTATAGATGGAGGTATGAGGTATACATGGAGGTATGAGGTATACATGGGGGTGGTGAGGTGTAGACAAGGGCGGTGAGGTGTAGATGGTGATGGTAAGGTCTAGATGGAGGTGGTGAGGTCTAGATGGAGGTGTGTGGTGTAGGTGTAGGTGGTGAGATATAGGTGAGGGTGGTGAGGTGTAGATGGTAGTGGTGAGGTGTAGATGGTGGTCATGAGGTGTAGATGGAAGTGCTGATGTCTAGATGGAGGTGGGGAGGTCTAGATGGAGGTGTGTGGTATAGATGTAGGTGATGAGGTATAGGTGAGGGTAATGAGGTGTAGATGGTGATGGTGAGGTCTAGATAGAGGTGATGAGGTCTAGATGGGGGTGGTGAGGTCTAGATGGAGGTGTGTGGTATAGGTGTAGATGTGGTGGTGAGGTCTAGATGGAGGTGTGTTGTTTAGGTGTAGGTGGTGAGGTATAGGTGAGGGTGGTGGGGTATAGATGGTGGTGGTGAGGTCTAGATAGTGGTGGTGAGGTCTATATGGAGGTGGTGAGGTCTAGATGGAGGTGTGCGGTTTAGGTGTAGTTGGTAAGGTATAGGTGAGGGTGGTGAGGTCTAGATGGTGGTGGTGAGGACTAAATGGAGGTGTATGGTGTAGGTGTAGGTTGTAAGGTATAGGTGAGGTTGGTGAGGTGTAGATGGTGGTGGTGAGGTCTAGATGAAAGTGGTGATGTCTAGATGGAGGTAGTGAAGCCTAGATGGAGGTGTGTGGTTTAGGTGTAGGTGGTGAGGTATAGGTGAGAGTGATGAGGTCTAGATGGTGGTGGCGGTGAGGTCTAGATGGAGGTGGTGAGGTCTAGTTGGAGGTGTGCGGTTTAGGTGTAGGTAGTGAGATACAGGTGAGGGTGGTGAAGTGTAGATGGAGGTGGTGATGTATAGATGGAGGTGACGAAGTCTAGATGGAGGTGTGTGGTATAGGTGTAGGTGGTGAGGTACAGGTGAGGGTAGTGAGGCCTAGATGGTGGTGAGGTCTAGATGAAGGTGTGTGGTTTAGGTGTAGGTGGTGAGGTATAGGTGAGGGTGGTGAGGTCTAGATGGTAGTGGTGAGGTACAGATGGAGGTGGTGAAGTCTAGATGGAGGTGGTGAGGTCTAGATGGAGGTGCATTCTGTAGGTGTAGGTGGTGAGGTATAGGTGAGGGTGGTGAGGTGTAGATAGTAGTGATGAGGTGTAAATGGTAGTGGTGAGGTCTAGATGGAGGTTATGGTATAGGTGGAGGTGGTGAGGTACAGATGAGGGTGGTGAGGTCTAGATGGCAGTGTTGAGGTCTAGCTGGAGGTGGTGAGGTCTAGATGGAGGCGGTGAGGTATAGATGGAGGTGGTGAGGTCTAGATGGAGGTGTATGATGTAGGTGTAGGTGGTGAGGTATAGGTGAGGGTGGTGAGGTGTAGATGATGGTGGTAAGGTCTAGATGGAGGTGTGTGGTTTAGGTGTAGGTAGTGAGGTATAGGTGAGGGTGGTGGGGTATAGATGGTGGTGGTGACGGTGGTGGTGAGGTCTAGATGGAGGTGGTGAGGTCTAGATGGTGGTGAGGTCTAGATGGAGGTGGTGAGGTCTAGATGGTGGTGAGGTCTAGATGGAGGTGTGTGGTTTAGGTGTAGGTGGTGAGGTATAGGTGAGGGTGGTGAGGTCTAGATGGTGGTGGTGAGGTCTAGATGGAGGTGGTAATGTCTAGATGGAGGTGGTGAGGTCTAGATGGAGGTGTGTGGTTTAGATGTAGGTGGTGAGGTATAGGTGAGGGTGGTGAGGTGTAGATGGTAGTGGTGAAGTGTGGATGAGGGTGTGATGTGTAGATAGAGGTGGCAGGGTGTAGATTGGGGATGTGAGGCAGTGATAGTGATGAAGGAAGGAGTTAGAAGTCCTTGTGCATGATGGAATAGAAGATTCTTGTTGCTATTATGCTGATAAATGTGGAAGAGCCTGTCCTCCTTTGATTACACATGTGAAATGGTGAAACTTCACCATTAGAAGTATGGAGAACCTTATTCTTTCAGAGCCATGGTACCTTTGGGAAATAACTTCACCTCTCTGGGCCTCAGTGTTCTTGGAGCAGAGGTTGCTCTATTAAATGGCATTTGTTAGGGGGAAACCTACCTCTCTAGCTCCAAGCACTTTTGCCTCATCTTATAAAGTGGGAACTTCTGTCCTTGCTGCAGCCTTGAGAAAAGTACTCTCCACTTACTGCTCTACCTCCTAACTCATGGTATCTAGCAGAGGATAAGTGGTTCATGTGCTTGGAGAACTGAAGCACATAAAATGGGCATATGTCATGATTCAGGTTCTTCTGGGTTTTCTCCTTTTGGGAACAGCTCCCCCAGAGAAGGCCTGTGCTTCCCTCCTCTCCTCTTCTTTTCATGGTAAGCTTTCTAGGGTAGGTTCTTGCCTTGTGGGATAGAGGAGTCTTCCAGTTCTGGGTAGATAAGTTTCATTTTGAGGGAAAGAATTAGGAAGCCCAATTGTACATTCAAAACTACATTCTCTAATCAGCTTTAGCTGTCATAAATTTATTTTAAGTCCCAGCTGCTTGACTTCTATATCTTATTTCTCATTTGATTCCAAGGACAGAGGGGTTGTGAACAAGTATCATTCTCAAAGTCCAGCACTGAAGAATTAATAAAAGAGCCCATTTAGACTGGGTTGGACTCAAGGATCTCTTAAGTTTCTTTCAAGCTCTACTGCCCTATGATTCTATGTGTCTAAATGAACTTATTGCTGAAGCAAAATAAATATATATTGATAGTTCTGGGTCAGATGTTGGGATTCTTAAAGGATAACTTCCCAAGCTCTGACTCCCTTCTTTCTTGCTTTTCAACTGGATGAAGACCTCTGATCTTCAAGCATCTTCCTCTTCTTCCCATATACCAGCTCCTCATGGCTTCATTTACTTCCCCTTCTGGTCTGGACATCATAATGAATCCTTTCCTCTCTTTTCTCATTGATACCCATAACCTCTTATTCCTGCCCTGCCAATCTCTTGGGCAAAATCAGCCCATTCATTAACTTCTTCCTCCTGCACTAAGTTCTCTTTTGTCTCTGGAGAAAGCCTGTCTTCAGTGGGAGAGAACAAAGCCAATACACAGAATGGCAGAGGGGTGTCCATTTGTGTGTGTGTGCATGTATGTGCATGAAAGAGAGAGAGAGATGAGGAGGGAGAGAAAGACCTAGTCCTGTGATGTGTATGGCCAACTTCATCCCTGCCCTTCCCTGTGGTTTAGTTTTGTGAGCCAAAAAATGTTGAGAGAAGATATGGCTACCCCTTTTCTCCCTGCTCCCTGTCCTCTGGCCTCCTTCCATGTTACAGCCAAGGACATGCCAAGCCACCCACTCAGCTGTGGCACTGGAGTAAATGCTTGGGGGATACTGTCAATTCTTCCTCACCACCAGAGTGGTAACAGCTGAGGCTCATGCACTGGTCTTGCGGAAAGGGAAAAAACTGGCCCCAGTGGTCCTCAGTCATGCGTGTCTTCCTCTGGGAACATCTGGCAATGTCTGGATCTATTTTGGTTACACTGGAGGGAAGGTCACTACTGGAGGGAGGGTACTTCTGGCCTCTAGTGGGTAGTGGCCAGAAATGCTGCTAATATCCTACAAGGATGGCCCCCACAACAAAAACATTATCTGACCCCAACTATCAATGGTGCCATGGTCAAGAAATCCTGGATTAGGGCATGCAGTCTCTGGTTCTAGGCTCTCACTCAGGCAAAAGGAGCACTCAACACAGGCCCACCTCACTCGCTAGGGATCTGCCAGGAGAGGGAGCTAAAGATTCTTAGTACAGTTGGCCCTCTATATCCATAGATTCCTAATCCAAGGAGTCAACCAACAGCAGACCAAAAATAGTTGAAAAACTAAAAATAAATAACAATACAACAATAAAAATAATACAAATACTCCCAAAATACAGTATAAAAAACTATTTACATAGCATTTACATTGTATTCGGTATTAGAAGTAATCTAGAGATGATTTAAGATAAACAGAGGAGGCCGGGCGTGGTGGCTCACGCCTGTAATCTCAGCACTTTCGGAGGCTGAGGTGGGTGGATCACAAGGTCAGGAGATTGAGACTATCCTAGCTAACATGGTGAAACCCTGTCTCTACTAAAAATACAAAAAAAATTAGCCGGGCATGGTGGCACATGCCTGTAGACCCAGCTACTCGGAAGGCTGAGGCAGGAGAATGGTGTGAACCCAGGAGGCGGAGCTTGCAGTGAGCCGAGATCGTGCCACTGCACTCCAGTCTGGGTGACAGAATAAGACTCCGTCTTAAAAAAAAAAAAAAAAAGATAAACAGAGGATTGTGTAGGTCACATTTTATGTGAAGGACTTGAGCATCCTCAGATTATAGTATCTGTGGGTGGTCCTGGCACCAATCCCTTGTAGATGCTGAGGGATGACTGTTTGACCTCTGTGCCTCCATTTTCTTCAGATACCTGGTGGAAGGTGATGACTGCTCACTGGGATGGATTCCCTTCCATCTCCTGGCTAAATGCCATCTGAACCCCACCTGGGTTTGACATCTGGAAGTATTTAGGTAGGTCTGACCTAGGACCATGCATGGGGGCAAAATTCTGTGAAGAAAATAGCAGCTTCCTACCCTGGAGAGACCTGTGCGGCTTAGGCCCTTGTTAGTGGGACTGAGGATTAATTTGGGAGCCCTGGCAGGCTCATCTAGAACCTTTACCCACAAGAAGTTCCCCACAGGCTGGGCAAGACTCACCACAGTATGTGCAATTTTTGGCTTCCAGATTGTTTGTGCCAAGTTTTGGCAGGTGGTACAATATTGGCTGCCCCAGATTCTTGTCTGCTTTAGCTGCTTTTGAACCGTGTCCAGGGTTGAGAATGGAACATACTGTGATGGTGTCAGCACTCTGCAGGAAGGTGAAAAAAGGTGAGGGATATGTTAAAAAGAAGCTGAGACACTGTAAGAGGCCAAACCCAGGTGATGCTGTGGAGGAGTTCTCTTTCTTCACCATCCCTATCTACTTTCCAATTGCTGCTGTGGCCTATGGACTCAGCTCACTCTACAGCAGCCACGATGCAAGTCTTGCTGTTCTTCTAACACCCCAGGCTCATTTCCACCTCAGGACCTTTGCACTTACTGTTTCCCCAATCTTCAGCCTGACTTGTTCCCTCATGTATTCAACTCTTTGGTCAAATGCTATCTACCCAAGAACACCTTCCTTGACTAGCCCATCTAAAATGCCCCTCTCTGGTCCTTAACTCTGCTTTATTTGTCTAAGTGGCATTTCTATTCAAAACCACATTATGTGTTTATTCATTTGTTCACTTTTTCTGTCCTCCTAATATGGCACAAAGTTTATCTGATTCACTGATGTATCTCTGATACCTAGAATAGAGCCTGGCTCATAAATAATTGGGTCTAAATCCTGACTCAACTAACTGTGGGATCTTGGGCAGTTTCTCCTTTTTTTTCCACTGCAATTTCCTCAACTGAAAAAAATTCAAATAATAATTATATCTACCTCAATGGTTATCTGAATCAATGTGAAACCTTAGGTCAATGTCTGGCCCACAGGGAACAGTTAGTATTAACTAATAATATTATTATAATTATTACACCCTCAGGGAGAAGCTCACATGTCTATCCTGAGGAGGAGGGGAGGGGGATGAGCAGTATTCCTAGCAGCTTGCAGGAGCGGAACCATCTTTGTTGCTTCTCCAGGAACCAAGTCCTGTTCTCCCCTCTCGCCTGCTCTCTGCTGCCCTCTGGAGGCCTGCAGTGGAGTCAGGCAGGGAGTGATTCAGGGACGCCACAGATTATGTATCTCCCACGGAGAAGAATGAGGCACTGCTGGATGACAGTCCCTCTACTTAAGCGACCCAGAGCCCAGGGAAGCATCTTGGGCCTTGGCAGAGCTGCCACTGGAGCCATCATTTGACAAACACAATTGGGAATCATTGAGGCCACAGAGGAAATGTGGGTACCTAGGAACTCATTCTTCAGACAGATCCCCAAAGGGAATCAGAACCAGCATGCAGCCAAGCAAAGGCTGCCCCTTCCTTCCCCTCTCCCCAGGCTGTACTTCCTTAGCCAAGGGACAGTTCTCTGATCACCTCAGCCAACCTAAGCTACCCTGGAAAAATATTTCTCACCCTGTGCCCCTGTGCCTCTTGGTCAGAGCGTATGTCACTGGCTGGGCCAAGTGATCTTCATGTCAACCTAAATGAGAGGGCTATGGAAAGACATCCCTCTAGAGACATCTGGGAGCTGATTAACTAACAAGAACATGGAGACACCAGCACTGTGTGATCAAAAGATATAATGGAGGGAAAGATTTCATTTTCAATAAAAACAAAAACCCTAAAACATCTAGAAATAAACTCACCTAGACATGCATGTTTTATATGAGGACACATGGCAAAACTTTGCTAAGAAACATAAAATAAGACGACATATTTCTGGATGGGAAAACTGAATAGGGCAAATATGCTTAAGTTCAGACATTTATATATATTTTAAATACAATTCCAAGGGCATTTTGAAGGAAAATGACCCAAAAAATCATGGCTAAAGTATGAGCTTAGAATTTATTGAGTTTTTACTATGTGCTAGGCTCAGGGCTGAGAGCTTTACATACTTGACCTCAATTAATCCTCACAGCAACCTCAAGAGGTTTCTTTTCTCTCTCTCTCTCTCTCTCTGTCTTTTTCTTTGTTTCTTTCTGAGACAGGATCTCACTCTGTCACCCAGGCTAGAGTGCAGTGGCACTCTCACAGCTCCCTACAGCTTTGACCTTTCAGGCTTAAGCAATTCTCCCGCCTCAGCCTCCCAAACATCTGGGACTATAGGCAGATGCCACACCACACCAGGCTACTTTTTAACTTTTTGGTAGAGATGAGGTCTCAATATGTTGCCCAGGCTGGTCTCGAACTCCTGGGCTCAAGCAATCCTCCCACCTCGGCCTCCCAAAGTGCTGGGATTACAGGCGTAAGTCACCACGCCTGACTGAGGTCATTATTAATATTTATGAAAGACAGGTTGGGAAAGTGATTAAGAGCAGGAGATCACATGACTTTGGACAAGTTACTTATGACTGTGGGAAGTGGCTTCCTCATCTGGAATGATAGCAGCTATCCCATAGGTTTATGGTCAGTATTAAATGAGGTAACATACATGAAACATTGAGAACAGTGCTTGGCAAGTAGAAGCACTGACATGAACTACTATTATCTTCATTTACAGATGAAGAAACTAAAGCTTAGAGAGGATAACATAATTTGTCCAAGTTCACACAGCTGATAACTGGCTGCCCTGGCCTGGGGGATTGGAGTAGGGAGTCTTGCCTACAAGATCTGAAAAATTATAAAATCATAATAGTTAAAACAGGAAGCACATCTTGTATAAGATATTTTTACATGCCTTGCAAGATCATGTTCTGAAATATTAGTCAATGCCTTCTCCAGCCTGATATTCCCTTTACCTTTCTCCCTTCCCTGCCTCAAATAACCAGGCCATTCTATGCTCAGTTCTGCAGGGAACGTGTGTGAAAACAGAAGGAAGAGGTAAGGAGCCTCTTTCCTTAGGGGAATAGAAAAGACTTCTGGCCTAGACTTAGACCAAAGTGTGGGAGAAAATGGTCATGAGAAAGATCAAGGCATTTCCTGCCCCTCATATCCAAGAAGAATTCCCCAGAGCAAGGACAAGGGCCGGAGGGAAGTTGAGAAATATTGACTTTACTAGGTCCTGGAGGTTGAGGTCCCAATCCCTGCTCCCTGGGATGAGCCCCACAGAGAAATCAGCATCCTTCACAATCTGTGGATCTGAGAGCAGAGAATAGAATGGCTACTGGGTGTATCTAGGCCAAGAGGACCCTAGGCAAGCTCCCTGAGGCTGCTTGAAGAGGTGGAGAGAGACTTAGACCTCCACAATAACCTGCAGGCACCAGGACCAGATGGGACAAGGATAGATGACATCAAGGGCAGGACCCTTTGTAGGTCACTGAGGGTCTAGAACCCTGCACTCCACCCCACCCCAAATCCAAAATGGAAACTGCAAAGGAAACTCAGAACTGACTGGGATTAAGGGTCAGCACCTTTTTAAAGAGTGGGGCTCAAGTATAGATGAAGGAGAATTTTATAAACAAACTAATTTTTGTTACACACTTGAGTTTAGGGGCTGAAACTGGTATTCTAAAGGATAGATTTTTAAGAAAATAGTGTTGGGGAAATGCACTGTTTAAAAAATCCATTTAGAAGAGAAAATTGGGCAGTGAACAAAGGCAGCAACTTAAAATTATTTGTGGGGCTCAGCACATATTATTGATCTCTGCTCTGAAATTAAAGGTAATTGTTCCTTAAGATTGAGCTGAATTTGCACCCGATCTGCCTTGGACAGTAATCATGTGCCCCTATTGTCTTGGCTTCATAATTAGTCGTGCTCCTTTCATTCTCAAAAGGGTCCCAGTTTGAGCAGTAAATTAAGTGGTTACTCTGCTTAAGATCTTTAAATGAGAGTGATCCCATGGGTGGGCTGACTCTGAACTAGGTATTGTGAAACAGAAAGTAAGACTTTCCAGGCAGGTGTGGCTGGAGGCCAGTGGGACCCGACGTGGAGCCTCTGGAGGGCAGAGAACCTCAGGTGGATGGGAAAGGAAGGTAAGGTAAAGGGCAGGTGGGGTGTCAAGAGAGGGTCAGGTGCTGGGTAGTTAAGAGGACAGTGGCGAGATCAGAGTGGAATGTTTGAATTTAATATTTCAGAGATGGAGCAGCTAAGGATAATGGTGCGGCCCAGGTTTTGACCATAGGCACAGGAGGGAGAAATGGAGGCAAATGGAGGCCTGATTGTGTTTGGGGACAGGAATTGGGCACTGGGGAGACACATGGATGGGGTTTGTCTCTACTCTTGTATTCTTTTCAAATGTTGAATCTTGTAACTGTATTAACTATTTTAAAAATCTATAAGTAAAATTAAAATGTAAAGGATTCCAGGCTACCTTGTCCATTGATTATTCTAGGTCAACAGTGGAAGCATTTTATCAAGTTTTTAAAACCCCATTATAAAACAAATGGCCTTTAAACATTTGAAAACATGCTCAACTTCATTCATTTAAAGAAAAAGAAGGCAAATCTGAGCCACAATGAAATACCATTTTTCACCTTTCAGATTGGCAGATATCAAGAAATTTTTCAACAGTGAGAGAGGAGGGCAATGGGCCCTCATACATCTACTTGCAAGTGAGATGCAGATAAGCACAGCCTTGATGGGGCCGGTTTGGCTGTATTTATATAACTTTAAAATGGACATACCTGGCCAGATGCAGTGGCTCACGCCTGTAATCCCAGCACTCTGGGAGGCTGAGGCAGGTGGATCACTTGAGGCCAGGAGTTCAAGACCAGCCTGGCCAACATGGTGAAACCCCATCTCTACTAAAACAATACAAAAGTTAGCCAGGCGTGGTGGCTATAGTCCCAGCTACTTGGGAAGCTGAGTCATAAGAACTGCTTGAACCCATTAGGCAGACGTTGTGGTAAGCCCAGATTGTACCACTACACTCCAGCCTGGGTGACAGAGCAAGACTCTATCTCAAAAATAAATAAATAAAAATAAATAAATAAATAAAATGGACATATCTTTTGGTAACAGCAACTCTTTATCTGGAAAGTTATCTTACACTCCTACCTGTGGACAAAAACAGAGATGTGGTTTGGGACAGTTACTCACCTCCCTGTGCTTATGTCACAGTTATAGTGAGAATTAAATATGATACATGGGAAGGATTTTAACAAGGGTCTGGCACATGGTAAGCATTGGCACATGGTAAACGAGGGCCTGGCACAGGAAATGCTGGCTGTTATCGTCAGAGCATTGTTCATGGTGGCAAAACATTGGAAACAACCTGAATGTCCA